CTTAAATAACCAGTTCAGTTTTACCTCAGTTCAAAAACACTCACTCCTGAAGGAGAAAAAGCAGTTCTTCCAGGGCTGAACTACCCTATCCATTCCTTCCACAGAACCTCTGCAAAAGGTAGGCCCCAGAATAAAAACTTTCTGCAAAAGGAAGAACATGAATGTATATAATACTAATTCTATATTTAGTATTTCCATGTATTTACTTTAAGATGGAAATGAGAAACGCAGTCTAGGTCCAACCGAGTACCGAAAAAATCCACCTCATAACCGAAGCGAGGCGCAGCATGGGCTTCGCACATGTCATCGCATGCCAGCTTGCCCCCCACTTCAGCGCAGTCAGAACCAAACACCATGTGGTAATTGGACAGGATCTGCAGAAAACAAGACCAAAAAAGGAATTGAAGTACCAACAAAATGTGGCAACACTTTGTACAAGAATGTGGCTAAACTGTTGCACTGCCATATGGCAATACTGCCATACTATTATGCCGAAATGTTGTACCCCTATTTGTCATAACTGCAGGCACTTTACTTTACCCCACCTGGCAACACTGCTAAAACTATCGTACTTAAAGTGCTCACCAGGAAGAAAAAGATGGCCGCCTCCGTGAGACGAAAATCCGCGACGACGCCCATTCTCACAGACGAGAGTTTCAACGCCGCTCCGTTCCGCGCCGCCCGTTTTCTACGACGATCGTCGTCTTCTTTCACTCGCCGTCGGCTGAAAAAATCAGAAAAAAATGGAAAAGCACTTTTAAGTGATCCACAGATGAATTTCACTCGAGAAAAGATCGAAAACCCAGGGGTAAAATCACTTAATTGAAAAATGCAAGGATAAACTTGAGACTCACTTTTGAGGTGTACACTCTACCAAGCAATCAGACTGAATGAGATTGATTGGTTCTGATACCAGACAGATGTAGGTCATGTGTCAATACATGCCACCACAACCCTGCTCCCCCTCAGATGTGAGAACAGACATTCCTCAGCATCTTGGAAGCAAATTCCTGGCAAAGGGTTGCCATATGGGTCTGGACTGTTGTTGCGCTGCATCAGAAATATACGTATTGAATCGAAAGAGAAGTTGTGTCATTTGCTTTACTCCGGTCATAAGATTAAAGCTTCTCGACAAAGATTATCTCAACGAGTAATCATCGGATAGAACTTAAAGATCTGAAAACAAGGAGACGTTCTTGTTCTGTTTCTTACAAGGTTTTATTTACATCCGGCAGTTTGGGATAACAATATGCTTATACAACCATATGTTTATACAACTCTGTCATGCATTTTGCATGCGAAACAAAGGCATACTCAACTCTCAGACTCACCCTGATTTTTTAGCACAGAATAAATATCACTGAGAAGATGACGTCTCATGCCTGAGAAGAATTCGATGCGTCACGTTTTGACATCCACGTAAAATCCTGACGATGATAGTCGTCAAATTCCCACAATTTTTTCCAGCAATTTGGTAATGATTACAGTCATTATGTTGTTTTTCCGCTGCATTGACAAGAAATCTGCTATTCCTCCCTTCGCATTACATTCATTACCGCCAAAAAAGGCGAGAATTTGGCAATCATTTTCCGCCTCCTTTCTCTAACTTGAATTGCATAATCATTTTTACTTGCCTGATTGCCCGGAATGTCGTGCGAAGTGTTCCGGCGGAAGAAAACGGGGTCGGGAAAGGAAAACAGCCTCGGATTTTCTTTCCAGCCCCGTTTTTTTTTTTGCGCCAAGGAAGAAAAAAAAATCATTATGCGGAACGTAATTACGATGCTGCGTTTCGCGACGGGCGGCAAGCCGTGTCCGCCGAAATGAGCGCCAGGGAAAACTGATCGCCGCCCAATCCCACCTCTGAAGACATTTTTAAATAGTTTGCCGGTACGGGGGAAAAATCCTTTTGAGTCCTGTAATTGTCATCGTTACAATTACACTAAGCTTTCGTAAACTTTTGAATAAGCCTTCATAAAATCTTGGTGTTTCTGCGCGGCAACAAAATTTTTTTTATTGTAAAATACGTTAGGAATTTTTTGCTCTATAAACGAGGTTCGAAAATGATGCACAATTTCAGTTACACTGGATATTCTCGGCATCACGCAAGAAAAACAATTGAATGATATATCTTTTTTGTTCTAGAAAAAAAAAGTGTAGAATCAGGTGGAACTCCCGGCTCATTGAGTTGCCGTTCATTTGGTTGGCGCTCAGTTGGGTGGCACTCACCTGGACGCCGAAGCGTGTAAACATCACTTCAAATTTTCCCCTTCGGCGATCAGTGGATTAAGGTTAAGCGTTATGCGCATGTTCCTGATCCAGTTTTGTTGTTGCTTTTGCTCAGGATCGTAGTCCCATGCGTACTGCATTAAAATTTGGAAAATAAAACAGGCGAAATCTCTCTTCAACGAAATTCAAGGGACCAGAAGCGAATTTGTTGTTGAGAAAATTATGCTGTAGAAAACCCGTATAATATCGGAACCAGGCCTCGGATGATGTTTTTGAAGATAAATGAAAAAATGTAAATGAACCATTGCTCTTGGAAAAATGCAAAATGCCCATAGGTTTTCATCTGTTGAAAGCAAAATAAGCATTCAAACCTTTTGAAAATGACACAAGATGTAGGAAAGTTTGTGCTAAAAAGAACATACAATTTTCAATTTTTTGTCATGCCTGAAAAAGTTTAAACAGTGCGTGGCGTGGGTGGAGAACTCTCGCGAAAACTGGAAAGTTTTCACTCATCATCATGCAGTAAATCTAAATTTTAAAAATAAAAATCTTGGAAAAATCCCAGAACCTCACAATTGCATGGGCTGTATCATACATTTTTTTTTTTACAGTGGCACCTACTCTAGAAATATCCAATTTCAATCAGAAGTGGAACAACCCACGTACTCCGCAGTGTATCACGTGACCGCTTGAAGTAATGCTTCAATTGCGCAACTCCTGAATTTACGCTGATGTCTTTTACGTGATTCGAGATTTAATTATTTTTCCGGTGCCTTTTTCTACGCCTTTTTTCAGTTGATTGAAACTGGTGTGATCCGACTGGGTGGAGTCGGCGGTGAGAGCGCGACCGACGAAGACGATTTGATCCTCGCCCGACTCACGATTCGTCCACCGTCTCCGTGCAATGTCGAGTTCGTCAACGCCAATATCATCGTCGCCGGAAAATCATCAATGCGCAAAAACACCCCCAGCAGATCCAATCGGGTAAGTGTCTTATCTTTTTCCACCACAGAATTGCGCGCTCCTTGAAAATAAATATATATCTATAAATATTTTTTTTTTTCAAATGAAAATAAGGATGGATTAGGAAAATTTTCGCAATTCGCAGTGTCGACGCGGGAGTGTTGATTCATTTTCTGTTAAGTCTTGCGCGTTTATCGTCTTAGTCTTCGTGATGGTTACGGATGGACGCACAGTGCAGTTCATTTAAAGAACTCATTATGGAACGTTTCCTGACAGAGTGCGGCAATTTTTGCAAACCGAGCTTAAAATGTCAGCGAAAGAGTATCCATCTCTGAAATAAAACGGAGTTTGCTCGTAGCTCTTTCAATGCTCAAAAATTTGAAAACAATATAGCTGCTGCCAAATTACCCTAGATTACTTTAGATTACTCTATGAGTCTATGCGAATCGTCCGAGTTTGGATATTCCAGGGCAGACTGTCAAGTTTCCATGAAAAAGGGGATTTTATGCATGAAGTGGGTTGTTTGCGTGTACTGAAGGCAAGGCCGCCATTTAATTTCTGTAGGTGAGACGAACTTCATGTGGTTCGAGGTTGAAAAAATTTTTTTTTCTCATTAAAATACAGTAAGTTTGATGTATTTCACATTTTTAAAATTTGAGTTTCGTGAAAGCCAAACATAGAAGAACGCAGATTTTTTAATACAGTATATGATAAGACAGCGCTAAAATCGTCGAGACATTCACTTTTTCTTCGTTAACCTTGTGAGATTCTCATTCAAGAGCTTTGTACTTAGTGTATGGCTTAATATTCGCCCAGTACAGTATTGTGATCGTTTTTATGAATGATACAGCGTAGTTTTTTCTCTTGTCCGGATATAATATCCTGTGGATGTGTGAACATATAGAACAGTTTTTATTTCCTGTACTAACAGTGCTGTATTCCACGTGAAATAATATCCTGCATTGCGGATCTTCTGTGCGAGGGGCCAGTGTGGGTACAAAAATCTGTCATGAACATGGTCTCACCTTGGCGTTGCCTGGCCATACAGTAATAGGTCCAGGTGGGAATCGTTGTTTGATAGCCCACGGGGAAGAGGCTGTAGGAAAGGGCGGGGAGAATGCTGCGTTACTTTTTTTAAAAACTATTTTTGGAGGTCAGTCGATGGCTAGTGGGCAAGGATTCATGAGTTCATTGCTACTGACCAACTGCCGAGTGAGGAACCACTCCTACGGGACGGCGTTGAAACGGCCATTTCCGTTGGTTAGTTGCTCGATTTATCGGTTGCAATTAGGCTTCATCCTCCTTTGTCTAGACCGAATTCTGGCTTACAGGGACTTTCGAATCGTCCCCTCAGTTTTAAAAAAATACTTTACTGTATACAACAATCACGCGTAGTCTCTTCGAGTTTGCTACTAAATTTAATGTGCCGCGTCTCGTGAAAATCCCGAATTGGAACGAATCGAACTGGACGAAAATCGCCGCAATCAATTCTAGCTCACAAATGGCAGAACGAGGCTTTTTTGATTGCATGGAAAGTGCTGGAATTTTTTCGAACAGCTCTTGGAAATTGGGTTCATTGTCAAAAGCCTTCAAATTACTGTGGTATAAAAAACGCGTTGTTGAACATTCATTATTACCCCTTTGATTTGCTTTTATTTCTTGACAGCCTTGAATTGTGCAACTCATAGCGTTCTTGATTCACCGACACACAAAAATCACCAAGATGAGAATTTTTTCTTTCAACACGTCGACAGATTTGGAACCTTTCTTTCCAAAGTATTTCAAATGTGTGATAGCTCTTGAACTGGTCGTGAATAAAAGCGGAATATGCTAGTGTGGCAGATTTATCTCATACCCTCGTTATCATGGGCTGTTCTTCTAAATGCTGTCAAATATCCGTATCAAATTTGGCGTGAAAATGCAATTGGAACATTGATCAGGAGATGATCAAGTAGAGTGGGACCCCGAGTTGCAGACGTCACTGGTGCATGGACCTTGTCTCTAAATCAGAATGTCCACATGTTGGATCTCGTTTTCCCATAGACTTCAATGGGAATATTTTTAATTGGTTTTCCAGTAGATGAATAGTTAAGAATAGTTAAAAGTCCCCGAAAAATTGAACAACATATTTTTTTCTCAACTTCAAGGTACAGAAAATAAATGTACAGAAGAAAAACTTACAGAATATATGCTAGTTCGACATCAAAAGAAGCTTAAGATGCAAAAAAATGAAAATTGCCTGCAATACTGAGCACATTTCAAGGAAAAACTGAAGAAAGAAGTAAATTACAGTACAAAATTACCCCGTTTTGGATTATAAATTATGATAATTTACAGGGAAATGTTTTTAATGCTTGTAAATGTAAATAGCTCAGAATCTTAAAGAAATGTGAAAATTTAGAAAAATTAAATTAATTTTTTCCGCCAGAAATCTTGGAAAATTTCCCAGAGAGTGTCTGAATCTTGAGTCACTGTCCTGGTGTCCTGCAGATTTTTTCAGTTTCAAGTGCCCCGAAATCGAATCGTCCATATGTCAGGGTGTCTGTATGCATGTCGGGGTCCCAATTTATTTTTCTGCAGCAATCACACTCATCTCGATCCATAACAGATTACACCGAGGCAGGAAAGACGAAAACTTACGCGTAAAAACCAACACCCACGTGTAAGTCTGTCTCTTTTCGAACGACTTTTCTCGGCCATGAAATGTTCATTGGCTCGAGTGAGTGCGACTCGTTTCGCATTGCTTTCATATGGAGGCAAGGTTCCGTAGGTTCCGTATATTCATCGGGTTCCTTTGCCCGCTGCTCGAACACGAAACACAGCCGGCGATGGCAAGATGAATGTTTCCAGTGGCCCTGCTGATACACTTTGAAACACGGAATCCACCTTAAGCTTTTACGAGTTTTCCCTTCTTGTGTATAAAGGTAGATAAATGCGGCTCACGACAGGGCCAAAACGCCTAGTATCAATGCTTGTAGCCCCGGAATTGCGCATTCTTCTAGATAACTGGCTTGGAGGGGCGTTGATCCAAATGCGGGCATTCGTATACCCATGGTGGTGGGTCGTGGTCGGGCAGCGTTTCAGGGTTGTTTGATGGGAAAGAACAAGGGAACGTGGCTGAGAATTATTGGGCTTCTGCGACGACTGGTTGTCCTCGGCTGTGGCCCGGACATCCCGGGTATTATATGTTTATTTTTTTCGTGGTTACGTTGACGGGGGTCATTTCGTTTGCCCTCTGGGTCGTCGCTGGTGGAAGAAGTACACTCACGACTTGCGAGTGCGTAAATCAAGGTGCCATTTGTTCAGGGGGTTGAATAACTAACTTGGAATAAAAGATGAGGGTTCTTCGAAGTTTCTTTTCACATTCTTTCGCATTTTAGGTTGCATTTTTATCTGCTTCAAATATCGTTTTCTTCTTCTTTTTTGTTCCAATGAGAGAGACATTTCGAAAATGTGTGGGATTTTAAATTATCACGTCGAACAGCTCAAGACTTGGTATCGATGGCTTGAAATATTGTACTCTACCCAAGGAAGGAAATATGTCAAGGATTAATTAAAAGTCTTCGAGCGTGCGATCTTTGTTTATTTGGCAAAAAGGGCTTTCTATTCTCATCTGCAGATAGATTCTGCTATAATTCTCTGAGAAATACTTGAACGATTACTTTTGAAAGTGAGCTTCAGTTTAGTTTTTTGGGGAATTTTTAAACACGCCATGCATCTTCGTAGAGATTTTTCACTACAGTATATATTTCACATTGGCTGTGTTAGAGTCGTTAGACTAATTTTTGTGCTGTTAGATCAAGTTTTTATTGCCACGATGGCACGTGCAAATTCATGCTTTTATTTTTAATGTTTAATATGATTTGATATGTCTGATTTAACTCAAAAGATGCATCATTATGGAAGCGTTATTTGCGGAAATGGTCATTTGTCATCTATTGAATAATTTTAAAATTCGAACATACAGATACTGCTATCAAATTCGATCGGAAATTTTTCAAATGCATATTCTTCATTACGCGATGAGCTCACGTGTCGTGGCACCGTTTTGAACTAAAGCGTAATTTATTTGTGTATAATTATTTGGAAAATCGCGAGGCCAATTTAAGAGCCAAAAATACTGTATACAGTACTGTACAGTATTTTACACCTTAAAAAAAACACGGGCCAGGTTCATGCAATCTTCGGTGTTGCTTTGAAGCTGATATCTGATGGAAAGATTCGTTAAGATAAGACGTGCTTTGTTGATGGATCACTTGCGCCCCAGGCGGCCGAAATGAATGAATGCTGGTCCTGAAAAAAAAACTTGTTACATTTTGATCATTTGCCGCATGACCACACAGCACCAAATATGTTTCAGCTGTTTTTGAGTAGGACTTTACATACTAGGGACATAACTATCGAGAGCAAACCTTGTCGGGGCTTTGGGGCTGACTGCGACCGGTTGTTAAAGTTGCGATTGCTTGTCCTTGAGGGTAGATGACCGGGATCACGTGAGGCCCTTAGAAACTTTCGGTTCATTCGCTGGAAATATCTTTCATTTTTCGGATTTCCGGGGTTTTCTTCCTCACACAAATTCGATCATCGCCTGCCTTGCAATCATCAACTAGTTCCGATTTATTCTCCGGTTATTTCTAGTGCCCTCCTTTTCCTTGGTTCAATGTTCTATCGATAGCGCAAGGCGAATCGCGGTTTGGTTACACTGACGAATCTGTTCACATTTGCTTCTTCGATGAAAACAGTTGAAGAAAAATCTGGGATTATGAAGAGGATGTGAGTCGTTGGCAGTGCCCCAGTGAAACAGCTAGGAAAGATATTCGATTGTTTTTCCTTAATTCCAAGAATACAGGGTATTCGAAAAAATGGGACCGACGTTACCCCCCTGGATTGTTGGAAATACTGTATAATTTTAAAAATTTCAAAATCATTCTTTAAATTACTGTATTTTCGAATACAAGCTCTTATTTCCTGGTTCCGGTTTTATTGCTATTTAAAAGGGGTTGTTTTAAATGAATTGTTCTGGAACAAAATTGGCCGTATGATTTTTTATGACAGATTTTGTGAAGGTTGTCCGAATTCCGAGCAAATTGAAGTGATTCTTGAGCAGCGCTCTGGCAATTACAGTATTTTTATAAAAGCATCTGAGAGTTTTCCTTTGAAAATGTCAAAAATGTTTCGTTTTATCTCCCTGCTTTATCGTATACACGTGTTCATGTTTCTGTTATCCCCGACTTTCTGTTTTAATCAACGTGATCGTCCAACTTCTCTAATAATTCGAATTTCAAGAGACCAGCAAAAAATTCGACTCAGGGAGATTTCAACTTGAAGTTGTTTACATTTAGTTAAGCAAGAATTTTGTTGTGGGAAACGTAGAAGAATTTCAGGAAATCGTAAATGGTGATATTCTGGGACTTAAATTACTTCTTGGATGAGTTTACAGCATGCTGAACTTGGAGACAAGGGTTCATTTGCCCAATTACTCTTTCACTTCCTTTCAAAACACGTCAAGTTCCTTTTTTATTGCTTTTCTCTTTCCTGTGTCAAGAAAATAGTAGCCCAAAGGCATCAGAAAATTCCAGTTAGGGAGGTTTGAGTGGGAAAGCCTTTGAGTTTGGGAAGTTTTTAATGCTTTGTTTCGAAGGGAAGTTAGACGGAGACTAGGAAAAAAAATTCGACTTGGGTAGGTTTGAATTACGGAGCTTCAAGTGTATTGTGAAAAAGGCTCCATTAATACAAAATATCTTCACTTGTTTTGTACTCCATAAAATTTTTCTTTTGGCCTTCATGGACTAAATTCCTTCACGTCCCGGGATTTGTCTGCCCTAATTGGAACCGACAATACGGAGGCACTTCGGAATGGCATCGGGAAAGTGTCGGAAATTCCGGGGCGCTTGACCTGAGCGACTAAAACTGATCTGATCCGGTTGTCCTAATGATCCCGCCGTTAATTCCCACTGTCAATCACGTGCTGCCTGAATCATTCTTTTGCCCGTATTTCTTCCGACGTTTTTCTTGCCTCCTAGAAAACCAGCTGACCGTGACGACTTCGTTCGTCAATTAAACGGGGAAAGAGACGCGACCAAGTGATCCAGCTCCGAGGAATTTCAAACGCGAACGAGGTTTTTTCTCAAGAAAAAAAAAAAAAAAGGTTGGCTCAAGAATGAAGAAAATGTACTTTTTAAAATTTTGTTCAGAGTGAAAAGTTCTGATGCATCATTCGGTCTCTTCTGCGTCGACGTATCAGCGTAAGACAATTCAAAACGATGCAGTTAAGAATTTTAGATCCCAATTGGTTGAAAACTTTCATTTTTTATTCATGTGCGAAATATTTACTGAATTGTACTCGAAAATGAAGTTATTCGTGTGTGAACGCTTTTGAGTTGAGACGCGAGAGAAGTTTCTGCTTAATTTCTTGTTAGAATATATTTTTAAAAATTTCATCCCTGATTTGAAAATTTTTTTGCTCAATGATGGGAAAATTGAGGACATTTTCAGATTAGGCATCGATAGTTCGAAAAGCGCCAAGATCAGAACATATTCGGAGCAAATGCTGTCATATCTGGATGGATAATTGTCGCTGAAAAAGTTTTCCGTCATTTTAAATATAGTAGTGTACGTTATCTGTATTTGGTCAACTTTGACGGTCTTCGAACTAATTCAAGATAGCTAAAGCTAATTTTCTCACTGTGATGGTAGGTATTCCTTAGAATATAGCATAGGGAGCAACAATTGAACCAAACGTGAAGCGCTGAAAAAATATTTACAGGATACTTTAAATTTTGACCCATTCGAAAACACTGCAAACAGACAAAAATAAATCTGACGACAGATGGAACAACACTTTCAATTGAAAAGGAAACGAATAACAGTTGTCCAACTCATTTCCAGTTTTCATTTGAAGCTATCCTTTGAAAGGCCTAGCTTCTGAAGCTGTCATGTATTTTCCAAGATTTGTGCGAAAAGGAGTTTTTCATATTCACGATGAAGAATCTTTCAATGAAAAACATGATTTTAAGCTTACAAATCTTTACTTTTCAGCAAGCTTAGAAAAAAAGTGAAGAGCACAAACGCAAAAACCTCTTGCTAATCGTTCATTAAACTGACTTTATATTTGAAATATTTACGCCTGAAAAGGCCTTTTGGGGTATGCAAATTCATTTGAAAGCAACACTTGGATAAAAGATGCGTGTCGTTAACCTCGATCAAAGCTTCCGCGTGGAATATAGCAGTGAATGGCGGGGATAATTAAGATCATTATGGGTGTGTTGTACACCTTTTTCTTCATTCTCGTCCATTGCTTCGTGTAGGGGTGAATGGTCAAGGAGTGAATGGTAAATCACTGACGTCAGTGAACCTTGTTCAACTTGTGTGCGAGTGACTAGTCGAATCATCCGTTCCTCCCGCGTGGAATGACTTACTTTTCCCATCATAGGGAACTAATTTTCGAGAAAGTTGGGTCAATTCCGAATACCGACGAAAGAGAAAAGGCTCGGAACAAATATCGGAATTCTTATCGGAAGAATAACAGTAATTATAATCGCAATGGCCCCGTTAGCATTGGAATTTCCCGGATGTAATAGTTTCAACAATGCATATGGATATTAGAAAATACTCGTATATCCAGTGAGTTGCTTAGTGCCGAGTTTCTGGTCGATTGGAACCGTTGATTTGGAAATTTTGACGTGAATTTGTCGGTAACGCTTGTTGTTAGAAAGGACATAACATCGGACACGAGGGAATTTTTTTTAATCAGATAGCGAACAGCTTTCCGAAATTGCTTCTTGATCGACTCCCTGACCTGGTACGCATTCAAAGAGAAAGTACTTATTCCCTCCTGTGCTGATTGAAAATCATTCATCATTCTACATACCTTGTCTTGAAAGTGAACCGATTTGTGAGCCTCTACTTTCGAAATGCCGGTGTTTTTCTTATGCATACTTGGGACGAACAAATGAGTGACTTGAGGCGTTGATGAAGGCCAATTTTTCATTTCTCATAAATAATAATTCAAGAGTACAATTGAAGTTTCGCAATTTCTGTTTATGTTGTATCCCAGAATCGTTGTGTCGAAATTCTCCAAACCCTGTATGGGAACATAAAAATAGGCAAACAAAGCTGGTACTGTATCAATTCTTCGAAGATGTTCGTCTATTCCAACAATCAGTTTGGGCGCTTTCTTGTTCTGCGATTGAAGTTTTATGACTGCCAAGAAAGTAACTTTTTTTAGGAATGTGGTTCACAGATGCGGAGATCATGACTCAATTGCTTCATTCCTTTTAAGGCTCTACAAATTAGTTGAGCTGCTTTTAATTGGTATGCATTTTAATTTCATTTCCACGCGTTCAGAGGTCTTGCCGCTCTGTATTTTATGAACAAAAGATGGATAAACCTTTGAAGAATGCTCAGACAATAACTCTGTTAAATATTACTCTGTAAAAATCACGTCCACATTAAGCGAACCAACCAGACCCGAACCTATTAAGCACGAGGCATACAAAACATGCGAACCAGCATTCCTTTTCTGAATAAAAATGGAAAATTTTTTGAAAGATTTTGCTTGATTTCTCCAAGTTTTCACGCTACTTTTTCAACGCCAAGGAGTTGTTTGGTTAGATAAAAGTGCAGACATTTTTCGTAAAAATCTCTCTGCCAGGAATATCAAAATACATTATCGACGAATGAAAGAATGTCGATACATTTCATGACTTCCGAGTTCGAAGACATAGTTTTCCGATATTCTTCGTCCAGGAAATTGTCTCTTGCAGGACTCTCTCTGATTTCCGGAGAAAAACATAAACAGAACATTAACGTACTGATGACAAAATCAGATCTTCGCATGTTTTTCTTGTTTGTTTTGAAAACAAAGAGAAGATTGATATTGAGAGTCGAAGCTGTGTTGTTTACCTGACGAAGAAAAAGTCCACGTAGTGATTAATTTCGCACGACTGGGAGTGAAGCCCCGCCACATCCGCAGCGTCGTTTCGGTCGAGGAATTTCATACTTGCCAATAGAGCTAGAGAGTAAAAAAAAAGGTACGAAATCAGGGATGGATTAACTAAGAAAAAGTAACAGAATGATCAATTGAGTGATAGACAGTAAACATTGGAGGCGAAAGGCGGAGGTGTTGCCCGTCTTGAGAAAGTGCTGAAACCCTGGGTTGTTTGCGCTGGCGCGGCTGGCGATAATTCATCTTCTTGAGTTGATCAACAGCGGTATCGGCGATGTTGACTGCAAAATGAACAATCGGAAGGAAAACCACACAAAAAAACAAAGGAAGAAATACAGCAACTGATTCCAAGACATAGTTGAAGATTATTGTAAATATTTTGGCCGCTGTTTTCTTAGCTAGGCAAATGATGAAACAATGCTACTGGGATTCATGAAATTGAAGGAATAATCGAATGATGGTTGGGAATTTGGTGCGGAAGGTTAAACTGGTTCCAGGAATCCTCTTTCTCATCGCTCGCATTTCTGGAAATCCAAATATTTTTCCGCAAATGTTGAGCCGATCGCGAGAAAATGAAGCTGCTCAAGTCGAAATCACGGGGCTTTTGAATGCAAAACCTTTTATGCTATTTTTCATTATTATTTGTAATTGCCGCTTGATCAAAATAAAGGCCATCTCGGAAACCTGAAAGTTTCAATTTAAAACATTTGTGAATCGAGCTAAATCAGCCGCCGCCATAGTGTATACAGAATACAGATAAATAGCTACGTGATAACGGCATTGATTTACCAAATAAGCCAAGCATGATGTTGTTTCTAAGAGAAAAGAGGATCTAAGTTAACCACAAAATTCCAGCTGTGACTTGTCTTTTCTCGAAGACGTGACTCATTGTGGTTCATGTCTGCTGCCAACCACGAAAGAGGCAGTTCAAGGTTAATACGTGGTACTGTTCAACTGATTTGCAGATATTGTGTGTCTGCTTTGACAGTTGTGCATTTATGGGTTCGAGCGAGTACTTTCATTTCGTGTCCCCTCCCCTAAAAACCTGGTATTTTTAGCCTTTCATTCATGAAAAAGGAAAAAAAAAATCGCTACTTCGAACGCTCCTCGAAGTGCGGGTGTGGTTCATGCTCCCGTAATTATGAAAATAATTTGAAACCATTTTGATTTTCGAGAAACCGTGGTTTGTTATTTATGCTTCGATCTTGTGGTCCTGATTCACATCATTATTACTTGTGGGCTATCTCTACAACAATCTCGTCTAGAATGATTTTCTCTTTTAATAATCTTTTTTTTGGTGGTCCCATAGGGTTCTCTCCCCATGTTATAGGAATTTCTGCAGTGATTTTTTGTGTCCCTTGCATGTCGTCGTGGAGAGAGTCCACCTGTATTAATTTATTTTGTTATTGCCATTATCTTCTCATTCAGGGTCGGTTGTCGTTCAACGATGCCGCGACAGAAACGTTCGAGTACCCCTCTGAGAAGAGCTTGCTTGACGATCACCTGGTTGAGTTGTTGGTGACCACCACGAGGGGTGTTCACGTGAACGGCGGCGATGCGGGGTCGACGATTTCCAGTGCCATGGACGCCCGCGACGGCGGCGATGCCTCCTCGAAGACCAGTCAGAAAACGTTCCCTGGCGCCGTCGCAACGGGCTCGGGACAACTCGGTAAGTCACCTTCTCAGTATTCGCTGATTTACTTTTTTGGGGTAGACATTTCTTTTATCGCTTTTCGGGGATTTATGTATTTCCTTACTAGTACAAACTTGTTTTTTTTTGTTGTTGTTGTAAGCAGAGCTGTATTTTAGTGGGATAGACAATTGTAATAATGTTTGCGGCGGCGCGGAGCTTGATTTGTATCTTCGACTTGGAGTAGATCAAACTTGCTGCACCTAGTGAACAAATCTTCCCTGAGCTTGTGCACTGCACATTTTTGTTCAATATTTATTGAAAAGTGCAGTACATTACAGTTGAAAAAAATTAATTTTTGAATCTCACGAGTTTGATTCGTGCTTACAGTTTTGTAAACCGAGTCAAGAAATTTTTGTGGAAGGGTAAATTTCTTCAGAATCCGGAAGAATATCTGACTTATTACAGTTGGTGAAGGTATTTCGAATTTTTAATCTGCTTCTGTTTTCTTGCAAAATTCTCTCGTAAATCCTTCGTAAATTATGCGTTTAATATAAAACAAAAATAATAACCACGAATAAAAAAAAAAATAAAATAAAAGCCTTGCCGAAACGAATGCAGCATCACAAAAACATTCATCTATGTGCCTACTGATGCTGGTCGTCACATGAACTGAAATTTCTCTGGGGGTCATCATGTGTACGTAGTACTGTATTACCCTATCTGAAGCATGGTTTTTTTATTTCATCCAAAACGTAAAATAGCCGAATGCCCGAATCCTTCATAACAGTCGTCTATTAAGTTCACTACTGTAGTACCTTTGTGTTGCTGTTTGGTGAATTGTTTTCGTGATATACAGTAATGTTTTGTGGTGGATCCTGTTTCTTGTTCCTGATGCTTGGGTTCAGGATTCGATGCAAATTTCGTTCCATATTTTCGCTTCGCATCGCGCGATAATATTATGCGCCGAATTTTGAAAGGGTTTTCGCGATGAGAGTAGTTGTTCGGTGGTGAATACTTTACAGTGCTGTAGTCTCATTTTGAATCTATAAATCGATCGGTCCCAGTATCACGATTGTACTCACCTGAAAAAAAAAATATGTGTGCTGAGATGTTACGCTCCGATCCTGTATATTCGCGGAAGTGAATGAACTTCGGCCTTCCCATACTCCATTTATTTTGCTATTTTTGATGACCCGAAAAAAGGTTTATGCGGTGTTGTACGTATTCTGAAGTCCATTATCTCTTTTATTTTACAAAACATTATTTATTTTTATTTCGAACTCTGCGTTCTATCCAATTGAGTACAGTATAGTGCAGTACATTTACTGCGGAAGACAGACTGACTCACTCTTGCTGAATTACCATGACCGCTTGCTGATACAGTAATTTCACTCAATTCGAACTCAGCTTCTTGGGATCTGCATGTCGATGCAAGTGTTGAATGACATCAGCTACTATAATTTAAGATTTCTTGCAGAACTAACCCGAAGCGAACCAAACGCGATCCCAGAAATGGTTTTTTCGTGGAGGAGAGCGACACCTGGTCTAGTCGGATTAAATCCCTTACGGAAGCTTCCAACGACCGCCAATAGAGTTTATCTATATTCATGAGAAAGGCGTTCTTGGAGTAAACCCATGATAACGTGGAGCCTGAAGTTCTTCTTTCTGAAGTAGATGTCGCACGAAGTTCTCACTGGCCGAGCGGGCGGGAAAGACAAATTTCTTCTGAAAAAATTTTCAAAGGGTGGGGAATGATGCACTTGTTTTGATGTTCGAGGCTTGATGAGAACATTGAGAGGGTGAGAATATTTGAATGTGACATAAAAGTTGAAACCAGGATTGAAGTATCGATGACAAATGTGGTGACCTAGACCCACGCAAATGCAGTAGTTCACCTCTGTATTTCGTGTTGCATGGGTCAAAGGTCGAGTACTGATTTTATATTATTTGAACTTGAAATCAAAAACCGCGTACTCTTTGAAAATTTCCAGGAACATGATCTCGGTTATTTTCTGCATATATCACCTCACTTTTTTTTTGTGCAAGAGCTGTTGATGCTTAGTTGCTCTTTATGAGCAACTAAGCATCAACAGCTCTTGCACAAAAAAAAAGTGAGGTGATATATGCTTTCCACGCATTTTTTGTACTTCGAGTTGTTGAGTCTTCCCTTAGAATATTTGATGGAATGCAGGACTTTCTCTGCGACGAAATTCAGGGGACATCACAAGGCAAAAAAACTCGTTGCATAGAACCTCTATAGCATGCACAGAAACCTGTATGGGGAAAAATCTTTGTATAGAGAACATCGTTGGAGAGAAAGTTCGAGTGATTCATTACATGTATTTATGGAATTAAAAACTACAGTTGGCGAAAAAGCAACAACGAAAACTGTGCAAGCCCCGCTGAAACTTAGAATTTTGGGGCAAAGATGCGTTTAATACACACGTTAAATAACACATTGATCGCATTTGACGCGTATGCATTTAAAGGGTGCGAAGATTACATGGAATTTAATAAGATTCATGTAATACTGAAAATAATTGGTCAAAATAACAGTCACCCGAAAAAAAAGATCTGCTGGGTACTTTTCCCCAGGCAGACAATTTTTGCCCTACCTATTTTCCCATGCCTGGAATCACTGTATTTCCTTCCCATCGATCCCGAGTATAAACCTCACATTACTTTTCACTGCGGCCCATCCTCGATTTTCTCTATTGCAGTCTTTTCCCATTTCAGTGGTTCAGTGCATATAAAATAGGTGACCTACATTTGGTTTAATGCTTGAACAGGAGAAAATCACCCTAAGTACCTCTATGTTTACCGTTTTAGCGGTTCAGGTCAGGGTTGCTATCGGTTTCGTAGCGGATCCAACTCGCTCGTGTTTCCGCCGCGTTGCAGAATGTCTCGATCAACCAGCGTAATTGCACTGAGTTTATTGGCTCATTGACGCAAGGTGCGATGCAGAAAAAGGAAAAAAAGGGAAGCCTTTTTTGAAGGAATCTAAGAATAAAAACAAAAAATGGAAACGGAAGTCCGTTGCCGCGATTCGCCGAAAAAGCCCCCGTGTGAAAAAGCAACTCACTTGCTGACGCTGCGCTTCGTGCGTTCACTTGTCGCCCGGGCACCTTCGCGGAAAGTTCGGCTTTGCTTCCTTACGTTTCCGCTTTCGCTCTGTGTTGATTACAATAATCTGTGATGCTTTTTTCTCTCTTTTTGTTAGAGCGTAATAGCGTGATTTTGTTGCAATTTTTTGATGCTCGGGGATAAGGAAGCTGAGCCTTTCTATTTCTCCTCGTTGCGCTGTGGGGCGTTCATGATTTGCTTCGTGAAGATTTCGATCCTGCTCGAAAGATTTAATAATGAAAAAAAAAAAAACCACGGGAAAATAATCACTTTTCGCAGGATTGTTTGATATCTGAAGAAGAAGAACATGTAAAGCGTATATAAATCTTTCTCTTTACCGTCCGATCAACAATTTCAGAAAATCAAGCAAAAATTGTCGACAATCAGAAAGAAATTTCCGAAGTATTAGAAAACGAAAAATTCCTGAAAAATGAATATGAATATTGGAAAAGTGATGCTTCATTGGGTGCAAGTAATTTAAAAGTGCGCGCAATGTCGGACAATCGTCCGGCGAGCTCGTTCAACTCTTGGGGAAAAAATTACATCGCAAATTTGTTTCTTCAAAGTACGGTTATTCAACGTTTTCAATCCGAAGTGGATCAAGTCGCGGGGATTAAGCTACAAGTCACATTGAATTTCCTAACTGGCGAGGCTAATTAGAAATTATGCACGTTTTCGCGCTTCGTATGCATTGCGAATTTGCCTCGAACTGGTCACCGGAGTTTTATTTTTTATTCATTTCAAAAATGAAACCGCGGAATAATTTGAAACAGTTCGAGTTATCGGACGAAAATGCCTTTTAAGACTTTCCAATGCCACGGCTCTCGACCTTTGACTGTTGAATGCGGTTTGGGAGGCTAATTTAACTTTGGACGCTTCACGTCGACCGAAATTGCATCGTTTTACTGACACATGTAACGTAACAAATCGCAGGCGATTTTTTACATCGCCGGAGCGGAGATAATTCAAAACTTCCCCTCATGACGAAAATTGGCCTTCGCGTAATGACTGATGTATGCTTGAATCATTTCTTGTTTTGGTTACTTTTATTTCTTCCATCTCATTTCTTTATTATTATTTCGGATTCGCTAAAGAAGGTTCGCTGAGCTGTCGAGGATACTTAGTTTTCGACTGCAGCTCATTATCTAGCATTAAAGTCCGGGGCGGCGGTCGTTTGCATTCATTCGTGTGTAGCGGGAAGATAAAAAAAAATAATCACAATTTTGAGGTACAGTATTGAGATTTGAGGTCGTGTTTCCAGGCTGACCAAGCGTTTCATTCATGGTGCAACACACTTGATTTTTGATGAAATCAAAAAATATAATGTGAAGGCAGCGTTTTAAAATATTGTTGACGGAGGGCATTTTGAAGAACCTGTATTTGTTCTAATTACTGTGCAAGCATTCTGCATCGTGCGGATTCCAGCTAAGAATCTTCTGTGAAGCCGAAATTCTTTGGAGACTCCTGAAAAAAAGGTTTTTGAATCAGTTCAACGTTATTTCAGTGTTGTTAAACCCTCCCGACGCGAAAGAGACGTCAATACAGAACACTTTCAGGAACAAATTAATTACCGAATACGTATAGTCGATTTGATTGAGTAGAAAGACAAATTATTTCACAAGAAAGTGTTGACATCATAACCAAACTCAAATAAAAAATATGGAAAGGAAAGAATCCGAGATGAGTGAATGAACTTCTGGTCGAGGATCGCTTCCCACCACACGTCCGAATATTCTTATCGAATCGTGTAAAAATGTAAGCTTTTGTGAGTCCGGTTTGTATACGCTATTGAGACACAAACACAAAGATGACCTAATTTACTTCACGGGGAAATTTTCTTAGTATAATATGCATATCCCAGTGTTATTTTTATTGGTCTCAAGAAAAATAAGAATTTTATTTTCTATCACACTTGATTTTCATTTTATTTTTCCTACTTTTTTAATACACCGTCAACCTATTCAAATCGTCGCAAACCTCACAAATGAACGGTGGCGGCTTATCGAGGTTTGACTACGGATACTCGTATGTATTTTTTTTCGTGGTTGGCCTCAAAGGGAACTGTATGATTGAAATCCACCTCAAAGTTGAATCCGTACTTTATATGTGAGTAAACGTGTAAAAGCCCATCCGTGGAAAGA